GTGGCCACCAGGGTTGAGGTGACCACCAGGTATCAGTGGCCACTGGAGCTGAGGTGGCTGTGGCCAGGATGAGGTGACTGCCAGGCATTTGTGGCCACTGGGGGTGAGGTGGTCATTGCTGAGTTGAGGTGACCGCCAGGCATTGGTGGCCATCGGCACTGAGGTGGCCACTGGGGATGTGGTGGCTGTGGCCAGGCTGAGGTGACCACCCAGTAGTTGTGGTCACAGGGCTTGACGTCACCACCAGGCATCAGTGGCCACCAGGGTTGAGGTAGGCACCAGGGTTGAGGTGGGCACCAAGGTTGAGGTGATTGACCACCAGGCATCCAGTGGCCACTGGGGCTGAGGTGGCTGTGGCCAGGCTGAGGTGACTGCCAGGTATTGGTGGCCCCTTGGGAGTGAGGTGGCCATTGCTGGGTTGAGGTGACTGCCAGGCATTGGTGGCCATGGGGATTGAGGTGGCCACTGGGGCTGAGGTTGCTGTGGCCAGGCTGAGGTGATTCCCAGGCATTGTTGGCCACTGGGGCTGAGGTGACTGCCAGGTATCAGTGGCCACAAGCATTGAGGTGACCACCATGCATCAGTGGCCACTGGGCTTGAGGTGACCACCAGGCATTGGTGACCGCTGGGTGTTGAAGTGACCACTGCTGGGCTGAGGTGACCACCAGGCATTGGTGGCCATGGGGGTTGAGGTGGCCACTGGGTGTTGAAGTGACCACTACTGGGCTTGAGGTGACCGCCAGGTATTGGTGGCCACTGGGATTGAGGTAACTGCCAGACATCAATGGCCACTGGGATTGAGGTGGCCACAGGGGCTGAGGTAGCTATCGCCAGGCTGAGGTGACTGCCACGCTTCGATGGCTACTGGGTTGAGGTGGCCACCAGGCTGAGGTGACCATTGAGCTGTGGAACTCACCACACACCAGTGGCTGTGGGCTTGAGGTAGCCACTGCCAGGCTGAGGTTTTGTCGAGCTGTGCTAGATAGCAGGCTTGAGGTGGCCACAGAGATTGTGGTGGTCACAGAGATTGTGGTGGCCACCACCCGTCTGAAACACCCACAGAGCTGTGGTGACCACCAGCCAGCAGCAGTGACCGTGCCCTTGAGCCCAGCTGCTCCCGAGAGAAGAGCTGGGGAGCAACTCCGGCCCTGCTCTTGCCGTAACACTTTGCAGCCCCTCTCGCCGTGGCCTCTGACGGTGTCTTTCCTTCCTGCTTTATTCCCTGTAAAAAAAGGTTCAAAACTCTCAGATGTTTGTGGGATTTTTTCATACTAGAAAGCAGGTCTTGCGTGCCCTGGCTGTAGAAGCAGTGAAAGAATGGAGGGCGTAAGCTGAAAAACAGGAAGAGGTTTTTTTAGGTTTTTTATTGTTCTGAGGTGTTTTGTTTTTTTTTAAATTGGGCTGATTGACATTGGTTTTGATTGTCGTCCGTATAATTCAAAGGACTGCTGCGGGCTTTGGATAAAGCACACCTTTGTGAAAGATTGTACTCCCCGGACTCTTTGCTTCAGCGCGCATCCTTGAACATCTAAAGGTTGGCAGAGAAGAGCAGACTTCTTGTTCTTGATATTCCTAGAGTAAAAAGACAAGTGTTTTTAAAGGATGCCTCTTCTCTTTGTCTCTTCTTGCATTGCAAAAAACGGGAAAATGGCTCAAAGCAGTTAATTAGAAGAATTCTGCCGGCAGGGACGGAAGGGTCAGGACAGTCCTTCACAGGCTGGTGAGAGGATCTCAGCCCTGCCTGACACGAAGCCAGGTCTTCTGGAGGTTTTCTTTTTTCTAGAGGACGCTGTGACTGGGCATTGCTGGAGAGGAGAACAAAATGGGAACTGCCCAAGGTTTTATTTTTCCTTGTCTTGTTTAAAGCATATGTCTTGTCTCTTTCTATGGAAATGTTTATTTAGCTAAACAACCCACAAGCAGGTGGGAGAAGAAAACTCTTTGTGAAAACCACAACTCTCCTACTCTACAAAAAGACTGAAAAAGCTCAGTCTTGCTCCTCTGGCACGAGCAGGGAAACTTTTTATTTCTTACCATCTCAGATTAGAAAGAGGAAAGAAAAAAACCGCAATCCCTGGAGAGCTTTCTTTAACGTGAGTGTTATCAGAAAGCAAAAGGCCAAGCCCTGACATCTCTCTCCCCTTTTAAACATAATTTTTGTCATCCCTTTTGACTGAGCGCAGCAGGCCTGCCGTGTGCTCTGCAGACGTCTTTGTTCCTCCGTGGTTGGGGTCTTATCTCTGGCCCGGTGGGCGCTTCCTGCGGTCCCGGTGTGGGTGGGGCTGTGCGGAGGGGCTCACGCAACGCTGCCACCGAGCTGCTGCGCTTTGTGAAATGAATGTTTCCGAAGGGAGCGGTCTGCCCTGCAGGGCCGTGCAGAGCTGTGCAGGGCTGCCTGGAGCACGCCTTTGCTGGGGAAGCGGCTGTTTGAACCGGCTCTGGGGCGGGCAGCGTCGCCTGGAGCGGGCAGGAGCCCGGCACCAGTCCTGTTAGCGGGGAGGCTGCATTCAGCCGGCTGCTGGCATGCATGCGAGATGTGCGTACGCACAGACTTTGCCTGACAGTGAAGTTACCGTATTTCCGGCCAGTTGCAGTTGTAAGAATAATTATCTGGTGGTCCTGCAGCTGGTGGGCTTTCAGTGCTTAACCAATGTGAAAATGCAGGTTGAGGGGACGGGAGCATGCTCTCAGTTGGGGGCTGTGGATTCATTTGTGGATGCTAACATCCGACACCAGGCTCTTGTGTTCCCCCCTTTGCGTCCTGCTGTCCCAGATGCTGTCAGAGATGTTTGTCTGTACATGTGGGGCATAACTGGTTCCCTTTCTGCCTCCAGCCCTGTTAAGGAAACAATCGTCACTTTTTCCTAGTACACCAGCAGGCAGTCTAACCAACTAAAAACTTTGTCGCTCGTTTGCCTCCCATCCCTTGAGGTCCGCGTCTGTGAAGTGCAAAGAGAGACTCTAAAAGATTCATCAGCAGGGAATCGCCATCAGCAGGGAATCGCCGATGCGCTCGCTGTAGGGAGGACTAGGAAATGGACCGTCTCTTCAGAGCTCAGCGCGCATCCAGGACAGCCTCCTCTGCGGAGGAGGACACCATCCTGCGCTCCCGCACGCTTCCCTGCGCCGTCAGCCGGCTCCCAGGCAGTGAGCGATCGCACGGGCCCTGACGAGGTTAATGCGTTACGTGCCGTGCATGAGCAAGATCTGGAGACTAGAGGGGCACCTGGCTGTCAGGGAACAGGGCAGTTCCTCTAGAAAATGTTGTTATCTACTTATAGGGCCAAGAATGCGTGTCCCCGTTCATTTGGGGAACAAAGGCACAGCTTTGGCCCCAAGAACGTGGGCAGTCCAGAGTGGGTTGTTCCTGTGCGTAGATACCCAACCATCTTGTTCCTCCGTGCCTTTTTTCAGCTGTGTCGTTCCTGCGTGCTCCCCTCCTCATCTTCCCTCAGCCCTGTCTGCATCCAGATCTCTGGTTTGTATTCCAGGGCCTTTATTTCTGTCTGTCTCTGTCCCGAAACTGCCCCGGAAGGCTCTTAAGCGCTTCTGTTGCTGCAGTTGATGGAAGCGAAGCCTTCCAGGCTGCATTAGTGCTGCTTCAGGCTGGCAGGCAACAGATGGAAAATAAACTAGTTCAGGAGCTCTGGGGATGGTAATGGTGCTGCAGGCGATGGAGAATAAACACGGTTAAAGAGCAGAATACAGAGTATTTATCCTTGCAGCTTCAGGCTGTTACTGGGGTGGCAGGAGGCGCTGCCCCAAACGGTGGGTCAGAGGGGATGCGCCGCAGGCTGGCTGGCGGTGATGTGGTTTGTCTGACTGGTTATGTCTCCCTCTTCCTCTCACACCGACCTGGAGCTCTCTTCTTCTGCCGACAAGTTGTCCCCTTCCCTTCAGTGCTGAGTGCTGCGAGTGGAAATGACGAGAAGAATCTAGAGCCTTTCTGAGGCTGCTCTAAGGGAGACGGTTTCAGTGGTGGTTTCCACTGGGTGGGCTTTGCAGAGGGAGAAACTGAGGCACAGGATGGCTGGGATTGTGCAGATGTTTCTGGAGGAGACTGTGGGATTTATGGCTCCCCGATGTATGGCAGGATGGGTAGGCAGTGCTCCCCACGGAGCGAGGGGCTGGGATGCCTCCTGTCCGGAGGCTGGAGACTTGGAGAGCAGCCAAGAGCATGGCAGTTGTGCACAGTAACGTTGGTGTGGATCTCAGCACAGGTTTAAGTTGTTTTCTGTAGAGATGCAAGGGCTCGGCTCATTTCCTTTGTGTTTTTGTAATGTGGGGAGTTTTGTCTTTGACTGCCTTTGTTTCACTGCACATCGGTTAATTACAGAAATCACAATATCCGGGTGCCCAGAATTTCTGGAGGTTCAGGACTAACCATCTGGAAAAAGTTGGGAATTTTTCTAACAAAAGACTTTGAGGCTGAGTCTGAGCAAATGATTCAGTTTGAATTACTCGGCCAGATGTAGTTTTAACACGCTCATGCCAATGGTTCCTGGACACCGATCCCTGTTGTAAATAGCACAAAATCCTGCCAAGGGGCGTTAAATCTTTCGATTTAATGGCTTTGGTTGTGGGCTGGAAAGAATGCAAATTAACTCTGAAGCTGAGAGTGGCGGGAGTGTGTTTCTGCGAGAGCTTGGAATGAAATCTCACCTCTTCTTCCCCAACTAGGAGCTGGCACTGAAGTCTTTGGGAAGTGAGGGGCTGTTTCTCTTTTCTTCTCTGGACACAAACAATGATTTGTACCTCAGCCCGGAAGAGTTCAAGCCGATAGCTGAGAAGCTGACGGGTAGGTAGCTGTCTGCCTTGCAGAGCTCTCTCTGCAGAGACCGAGTAAAAGCTGAAGATAATGCACTCCGCAGTTTTTATTCATGTCTCTTTTTTTTTTTCTGGGTGCTGTTTTGGGTCTTATTTACATGAAGAGAGGCTGCTGAGCTTTCCGTGTTTTGAAAAGGCTTAAGCACTAGCCATCACTTTCACAAAGTAGAGTTTTTATAAGACTGAAGATCCCATTGCTGGACTAGCAAAGTGCAGAAGTTACTTTGTCTAGTGCTTAAAGGGGATTTGGGATGGGTGAATGCAACAACTACAGCTCATCCCAGGCTTGGCCAAAACTATTAGTGAGTCGCAGGGTTTCATTCATACGCTCCTCTGGCTGTAGTGGTCGATAGCAGTTGTGAGAGATGATGTTTGGAGACTGTCGGCATGCGGCAAATGTCTCTTGGTGGTGCCAAGCAGGAAGAAGCGTGGAGATTATAATGTACAGGAGGGCTTACGCTGCAGTGGAAATACAGACAGTTGTCTGCTCGAGCTGTAATGAATTGGCTGAAGTGCGTGTTCTGATCCCCCCGAGGTGACACGAGACTGCTTAACAGAGCTGTGGGGGTTAGAGAGTCGTCCGCTGAAAGGAGGGCTCCCCTTTAATTCCTGCAGCAAAGCTGGTCTCTGGGGTGGGTCTGGGTTCTGCCGCTGCATACAGCATAGGGAGGGGTGGGAAGCTCCCAGGTCCTCCTGGATTTGCCGGGATAAATGTGTAATTATTTTACAATTGCTTAAAAGGAGAGGGAGGGGAAACAGCTGCTTAAATTTCTGTGTCTTTGTCTAGGGGTTGCTCCCATCTCAGAATTTGAAGAGGAGGAGACGCCTGATGCAAGCGGGGAGACGTTGTCCATTGTGGCAAAATTCCAGCCTTTGGTCATGGAAACAATGACGAAGAGCAAAGATGGTTTCTTGGGAGTAGGTATCGTGCAGGATGTGTGTGGCCAGAAATTCTGCTATAAACACGTCCTGTGGGCTGGTCACATCAGCTGGAATAAGGGCTAGCATGTTGGGAGGGGAAGATGGTCTCACTCGAGCCCGTGGGATTTGCTTTGATGAGCAAGCTCACTGCTTGCTGCAGCGTTTCGTTGTTCTCAGTGCACTCAGCAGCACTGTGCCCCAATTAACGGGCCCTTCCTGGGCAGCTCGAGGCAGAGATGAGAGGTGGCTGTCCTGGAGCTAATTCCAAAAGCGGTGCTGTTACATGGGGTGTTCCCCTCTCTCCCCTTTCCTATTACTCACGTAACTGAAAGTTGACAGAACTACCTGGTGGTGCCTGGGGTGGCAGGAAGAATTTAAAACATGGTATATTTTTCCCCCCCTTCTCCAAAGCCTGCTTACATCCATCAGCACTACTGCACGTTTGAAGAGTCTGGGCTAGGCTCTGATAGTGTCTTTTGTTCACAGATTTCTCACGTCGCTCTGTCTGGGCTGAGGAATTGGACTGCCCCAGCAGCCCCTATGAGCACAATGCTTGCCAGGCAGTTCAAAGCCTTTCTTCCTCCAAAGAATAAACTGGATCTTGGGGATCCGTGGTGGATAATTCCTAGTGAATTGAACATCTTCACTGGCTATCTTTCCAACAACAGATTTTACCCTCCACCTCCCAAGGGCAAAGAGGTGAGATATGAAACTCAATTTCTCTGTAGCAGGGAGATAGTTTGTGTAAATGTTCTGCCTTATAGCCCAGATGAATCGCAGGAGTCCCTACAGCAGACAAGGCTATTGCGTTATGTCTCCCTGGACTTTCTAAGGGAGCAAAAAGGCTGCAGCATACAGGCAGGAGCACCGTCTCCTAAATTGGAGATAAAACTGAAAGCAGGCAAAAGCTCTGGGTCTCTGTCATGGCCAGATGAAGCCACTTGAGCAATTTCGTCTTGCTTTGTTTAAGTGTTTGGGTTTTTTGTCTGGTCTCTCCTGGACGGGGAGGGGAGAGGGTTGTTCAGAAAGCACTGGTATGAAGTGATCGTGCCTTGTGGAGCAGCTGCCGAGTGCTACCCCAGCGGTGAGCGTTTCATTGACAAGTGAAACGATGTGTATACACAGTTTGTAAAGCCAGGCGTGTGTATCGCTCTCCCCCTGGGTGCCCGGGTAGGTGTTAGCGATCACATAGCTGATATACCTCCGCAGCCTGGTGTGTTTATTGATTGCATGCCCACTCGTTCAAAGTCTTAAGTAGTATTGATGGAGGCAGCCTCGTAGATCAGTTTACCGTACTCAGACATTTAACCGACTGGGATGATGGAAACTTGCAAGCAATGGGAATAGCATAAAAAGCGTGGCAGGTGGATTTATTTTTAAAAGCAGTCTCTTGCTTTATCTCCTTGTTTTGCGATTACGTAGGTCTCCGAGCTGATTTTTAAGTCACAGCCGTTCTCTTGTTTTCATGATCTGGAGGGGAGTCACTTTGGAGCTGCAGCTGACCTGCCCTGGCAGAACTGTTCTCATTTTTGCTCTCTTGCAATTCTTTCTCTAGATCATAATCCACAAGCTTTTGAGCATGTTCCACCCACGCCCCTTTGTCAAAACCCGCTTTGCTCCCCAGGGAGCTGTGGCCTGCATCCAAGCCATCAGCACCTTCTACTACACCATAGCATTCAGGTAAGGCCATGGGCCCGGGGTGCTAGAGGGGGGCTTGGGGGCACTTCTGAATTTATTCCGTATCTCAGGGGAGTGGAGAAGGCTGCTGTGAGCCTGTGGCAGAGAGCACATGTGTCACTGCCTGCGCAGTTGTGTTCCCAAGCAAGATGAGATGTGTCCTGGCTAGGAGGGAGGCGAGGCAGTTGGGGGAAGCGGGTGGTTCACAGCCAGCTCTTGCCTGTGTGTGATGCTTTGGTGACACCCGAAGAGCACACCTGTGCTCCCAGTGTCACCAAGGCCCTGGTGAGGCAGGGACCGTTGCCCAGATGCCGGACAGCAGCTATTCTCCATCACCTTTGGTTTGGAGCTATCCCTGGCTGAAAGGGGAGAGTCTGATTAACAAGAAATCTTTTCAATTTTGGTTAACCAGGGGGTGGAGTGCCTTTCCAAGGGGGAGCCTGGGGAATTGTTCTCTTGTTTTCCTGGGACTGTTACACACAGGTTTTATTTGCCTGATCAAGCTGAGAGGGTGGCTGAGCGGGTCTTAGTCTGTTCCTGTGTTTCAAGGAATTATGATGTTATTTATCCTTCCTGCACGGACATTTCCTGCCCAGTTCCAAAAGGCATCAATATCGGGGATGATCCTGACCCAGGGGATCTGCTCCAGTCTTTTATCCTCTTCATTGTGTGACATGAAAAGCTTTTTGAACTGAACCTCTGCCCCAGTTTAGCTTCGTAATTTCTGGTGCCTGGAGATAACTTCTCCCTGCTGTCATCTGCAATGCATGATCCATTCTGTCCTCCCGGCACTGCAGCTGATGTCTCCTTTCTCATTTCAGGATCCACGCTGAGTTTCAGCTGAACGAGCCACCAGACTTCCCCTTCTGGTTTTCCCCAGGCCAGTTCACAGGTCACATCATCCTCTCCAAGGATGCTTCCCATGTGCGAGAGTTTAAGCTCTTTGTCCCTAACAACAGGTACGGCTGTTCCTCTCTCTTCCTGGGTGCTGAACAGACTCGAGGATTGCTGTAAATGGGGCCCAGTGGAACCCAGGGGCTCTGGGACCCTTTCCTGTGCAGGAGTGGGGGCCATGCATGGGGGGAGGCTGGGGGTCTCTTTTTTTATGGAGATACGAGTGTGGTGACAGCTCTGTCCCTTGCAGCTTGTGGGCATCCTGGCCCATGCAGGGAAGGCAGATCTGCAGCCTGAGCTCTGGGCAGGCTGGTTCTGCTGATTGCTTATCTATGTTCCCCACACATCCTTCTCTGCCAGCGGTCATCACGGTCATCGTGTTCTCAATTTTGTAGATAAAAGTTGCTCCCTAAACTGTTCCTGATGCAATTTTTCAGGAATAGCTCTGTTTATCAACAGGTCTGAGGGGCATCTGGCTTGGGAGGGGCAGGGAAGGACAAGGGCAGAGGTTGCTGGGGACACGGAGCCTGGGCTTGGCAATGGATGTCCTTGCACAGCCTGGCTGCAGCTGAACATCCAAACCTGAGCTGTCCTGTGCCAAACCGCTTGGTACCTGCGGGCACATGGGAGGACACACATGGATGGGGAATTTCAATTGTCCTGATACTGCCCTAGGGACAGGCGGCAGCTTCTTTGTTAGTAGCACTGCTGCAAGCACTGCTCCCCCTGCCCTGTCCCCACAGTCCCTGGCTGTGGCAGGGGCTCTCGCAGTTGTCCGATACCTGTTGCAAGCTGCAGAAGGCTCCTCGGGTGTGTGAGGGATGAGCTCATGCTTTTCAGCCCAATCCCTGGAAAATCTGAGTGAACTGAGCACTGCAGTTGCCTGTAAAACTGGCAAATGCATCTCTACTAGTCGCTGAGGTTCCCTGGCCCATTTCAAGGTCTGATTTACTCACCAGTAACTGTCCCTTGGTACTTGGAGGGTGGGAGGAGACGGGCAGGGTGTGGAGAGCAGCCCCTGGCAATCCCTGTGCCTGGCTTAAAGCGCTGAAGTTCAGCAAAGCCTGATGCTCTTGCTTCAACATATTTTTTGCTTGGTATCTCACAGGTTAAGGTTTTGTGTGCATAGCTTCTCACTAGCTCATTCCTAAAATGGCAAGCAGCTGGAAGCATTTCAGGGGAGAAAAAGCTTCAAATCTCTTTGCCCATGACGGCTGGAGTGAAAATTCTATTATAACATTACCCTGGCGACTCAATCCCTATGGCTCTGTCAGCACATTTGTTACAGCAAGCAGACGCTTACAGCTCTGCCAGCAACTCCTTACAAAAGCCTTTTGCTTCCAAAAAAACACTTTTAAGCAGGATTAGAATGTGCAAGTTAAGTGCTGGGAAAGAAGGGGCAGCAAAGACACCTCTCTCTTCCTTACAGTACCCAAAGGTGTGAGCGCATTTGCCCAGAGTGCTGCATGGGTGCCTGGGCCCTGATCCAGCAGGGATCTGGTGTTGCTGGTCCTGTGCAGGGAACACGGTGATCTCCAGGAGCTCTGGGCTTCAGCGCTAACCCTGCAAGAAGGGCACTGGGTGTTCTCATTTGTTTGGGGTTTTCCGTACACAGCGTTAGCCTTGGTGGCTCTGAATGTCTCCGGTTCGCCTTGCAGGTCTCTGAACGTCGATATGGAGTGGCTGTACGGGGCAAGTGAGAGCAGCAACATGGAAGTGGATATCGGTTACCTGCCTCAGGTCTGTAGTCGCTTTCAGTCCTCCATGTGTGTGCAGTATCTCAGCAGGGATTTATACTGCCGTGGCCCTGAGCTGTGTAACCTCGGTTATCCCTCTTCATTGAACATTCCAGTACAACAATATAATCCCTGTGGATCTGTGTGTGTCCTCTGCAGCACCGTGCCTCCCTGTTGCCAGTTCTTGTGGTGGGGTTTTTTTCCTCTGTGTGGGTTGAATCCTAAACCCCTGGAGTCATGTGACTTTCAATTTTTATAAAAGGAAAGACAGGGACAAAGGGGGACATTGGGAGCTGATCTGAGCCCAGAGGGGTGTATGAGCAACAGTGTGTCTGAATTTAGAAACTGCATGAGGTTATTCCTCTGTTTTGTGGTAATCCCAGCTCTTGGGACAGGAAACATGTCAGGATTTTGAATGCCTGAATTTAACAATCCCGTTTTCTCCTAAACTAGATCCATGGTTCTTTTTAATTGCCAAAAGTCAGGAAAAGAGATTTAGAAAATAATTTCAGATGCACCAGAACACTGAAGTACAGGGATGCTCCTGCACAGCTTTCCCTCTTCCACCCTCTTGTGGCTGGCCAGGGCTGTGTGAGGGCTCTCCTGGTGATAGAACTTCAGACTAGCCCTGCAGATCCCAATGGTTTTAAGGATCTGGTGTGCCACAGTCAAAAATCTCCCCCAGGAAGGCGGGAACACAGAGTGAACTGGTCTCTTGCATTTCTAATCTAGCGAGCACAGTCAGGACAGAAGCCAAAGAAAATGAAGTTGTTTTCCTGCCATTCCCCAATAAAACCCATCCGCAGCGGGTAAAGCGCAGCTCCAGGAGACAACAGATCAAGCTGCACAGTCTTTATTTTACATCTTTTTCCTGTCCTGGAGTACAGAAAAAACAAGTGGGATATCTGCAATGTCCAATTCTCAGCCTGTTCTCCTGCAGATGGAGCTGGAATCAACAGGGCCTTCAGTCCCTTCTGTGATCCACGACGAGAACGGGAATGTGATTGACAGCAGGGATCCCTCAGGGGAGCCCATTCAGTTTGTGTTCGAAGAGATCACCTGGCAGCGGGAAATCCCCTGGGAGGAGGCAGCCCAGAAGCTGGAAGTGGCCATGTATCCATTTAAGAAGGTGAGGAAGGCGCTGGGCTCTTCCTTAGCGTGTTTATTTGGGGCAGGTCACCCTCCCTGAGATGTCCAGTCCCGAGGAGCAGCAGAAACCAGAGGCCACAACCTGATGAGCATTCAGAGCAGTGAGAGGGTCTCCCAGCTCCGTGTGTGCCTCCCAGGCAGTGCGTGTGTGGCTTGACGGGCTTCCAGTTTCCAGATGAGGGAGGACAGCATCTCTGAAAGGCCGTCTGGGGTCGCGCAGCAGCACAGGCAGGAGCAAAGCCTAGATGTCATGTGTCCCTGGCTTGCATTGTAAATGTTGGCTCATCCTCCCCTCCTCTTATCAGTAGCTGCCGATGCGATTTCTGAGTGAAGCAGGTAATTGCGCTGCTTACAAATGGTTTTCCTCTGGCATTACTTTTGCAACGTTCAGCTACCTTTGGACCAAGCTTTCCTTATCAGCAGAAAACAGACAATCCGCCTGTGCCTCTGCATCCCGCAGTGAGACACAAATTTATAGCATTGGGTGACCCAAACTATTTAACATGCCAGCAGCCTGTGGAGCAGATGGCTACTGCCTGTCTCTGCCTCCTTGGCTGAAGGGACACATTTCAAAGGCTGCCTCCTTTTGCCTGAGCTTACAAATGTCCCTTTGAGCTGCCAAGATGTTAATAACGTTCCCTTCATTTGAGCGATTGGAACAATTTCTGTGCAGGGTCCCTCACAGCCAGTTTTCAGGGCATTTCAGTGAGGTTTTGTAATAAATATCTCCAGGCCAGATTTCCTCGGCTGCCGAAGTGCCTTTGCAGACAGCCTGCCCGCAGTTGTGCAGATGCTGACTGCAGCGTGTGAAGAAGGGGCTCTGCAGGTGCTGGTAACAGCCCACGTGCTGTGAAGGGCTCACTGCAATCTCACCGGGAGATGAAGTTGCCGTTGGGGAGAGCACCACTTGTTATTTGATTTAATCTGCAGGATCGAGCGCAGAGTAAACTCTGTGTGTCACCTGGGGGATGTGGCAGGTCTGGTTCCTTCAGACCCAGCTCATATTTGAGATGGGCTGCTCTGTGTCTGTTCTCAAGCTGTGTCTCTGCCTCCAGGTCTCCTATCTTCCCTTCACACAAGCTTTCGAGAGAGCAAAAGCAGAAAAAAAGCTGGTGCACTCGATCCTGCTGTGGGGTGCCTTGGACGACCAGTCCTGCTGAGGTGAGGATGTTCCCAGGGTGGCTGGAGGAATGATGTGCAAGGAACTCGCATGCCGCATTGGGCAGGAGCGATGGGTGGGAGAGGGGCAGGTATCTTTAGTTCTATCGGCCTCCAGCACGGCATAAACAGCAAGAGACACTCAGGGTGGACCCGCAGGGCCTGATGCTTTCCCAAATGCACCAAACCAGTCAGGCCTCCGCGGCAAGCTTGTCCTGGTCCTTCTGGTGCCGTGCAGGTGGCTGGGGTGTGCGCTGGTGAGTGCAGCACACACGGGAAACAATAAGCTGTGGAAAACTGCCAACAGAGGAGAAAAAAAGACAGGGGGCTGGGCTGGGGGGACCCTAAGCCATCTGGGTGGCATCAAATATGGCAACGATCAGCTCAGGAAATGCAGCAAACCACTGTCTGCCTCTCTTCCTGTGCCAGGTTCGGGGCGAACTCTCCGGGAG